GATTCGCAACCGCGGGTACGATCAATACTGTATTACCCCGGATTGTGTCATTTGTCCTCATGGGCGATTGGGTGATTGCATGAGATCAGGCGTGATCTACCTGATATCATGTGCGCTATGTGGGGATGAGTACATTGGGGAAACCGGACGACCACTTTGTTCCAGGATCAGGGAACACTTGGATGGCTTGAAGAAGTCAAGACCGGAGACCCCCTGGGAGCTCACAGGCGGCAGTGCCATGGAGGTGCGGAGTTTGAGGTGACCGTGAGGATTCTGATGCGAGAGCCCCAGACCTCAGCACGCAAAACTTTGGAGGCCTTTTGGATACGCGCTAAAAGTCCAAAAATGAACAAGAAAGACGAGTGCCTCGCCATTACAAACGAGCTCGCCCCGTTCGTTGACCTGTGTGGGCTTCAATCGCCATCGGCTTCAGGTCGAGGGGCTGGGTCATCTGAAGCCACACACAGTTAGTCAGTTTAGCGGTGGTCCTCTACAAAACCTACCGTATGTTCTAAGGTGAGTTCTTGTGTTTCGGATTTGCGATACCTTCCTAGATGCGCTGATCTACGAACTATTTCTAAGTTTGAAATGATTATGAGGATTGAATCACTGATCTTCAACTTCCAGGCTCTGACGAAGGCGACTAGCCGAAACGTAAGCCCAATAAAGTGATTTAACACCTTGGTTGTGGCTTCAAGAAATCATTGAAGACAAGGACACACACCATGCCAAGGTTCATGGACAGTCGAACATGGAGTATCATGTTTCCATTCTCTTCGCGAATGGAAACCTTCTGTGATTTCCCTAAACAGGTGCTCACACCCGCGTATCTGAATCAAGCATAGTGAATTTCAAGCCTTTCCGGCACAGTGCGCCCCAAAAATCTTGACCTAGTTCACCACTGACACTGTATTCTGAATGTTCCGTGTGTAGTTCATCAAACTTTATACCTTTTAGTTATGCCATTTACTTTTGATGCAGACTGCCGACATGAGAGGTCACGCTCTCGCTCGTAAAATTGCCTGGTCGTCCAATCTCTTTCAGGGAGATATCTCGCTGTCAACTTCTCAGCAACCGCTCAAAGGTGAGGAGGGAATGTGTTCTGAGCCATTGGCGTTTAGCATCGCTGCTCAAGGCAGCGTTCAGGATTTAACAGCAACACATGTTTGCGCTTGAACGTGCGATGCTGCGTGTTAGAGCCCGCTTAAGCTTTAACACTCTAGAGTTACAAGCGCGCTTGGCCAGGGAACACCATTAGTTGGGGATTTTGGTCAAGTCCGTACGACCCCCGCCTTTTTTGAAGGGCTGGTACGACCCCCCCCCCCTCCCTCACTGGTTCCAGCTGTCGAGCGGAGGGGGAAGGGGTATATAGCACACATGGAACAGAAAAAAATCACGAAAAGTCAACAACCTCTTCCAGAAGGCTGGAAAGCAAATGCGACCCTC